AAATGGGTGTCTTTGTCTTCATTTTTAAACTACCATGAGTGTAAACAGGTGGATAGTGACTAGCAGTGGAATCCAGGATGTGCACTTCATCCCATTTGGGACTCGTCATATGGATGTACCTGCACTCCGCAGTCAGTGATGATGTTCCCACCGAACCCAGTGACCATAGTTTCAAACGCCAAAGCGTTATCCATTAGATCAATTGGGCCACGAGAGCCACCTCTTGTGCAACGGGTCATAATAATTATTCAATTGAATTTTAGATTTTCCCGTCGATTGAGTGTACCGAAGTGCTCGGTCCACTGCTAGTCGCCATCCACCAATCAACTTCTAATACCATCAGTGTAACGTGAATATTCCACCCATACTTAGCTATTAATATAAACACATAACATAGAATGAAATTAAAAGTGTTATTGAAGAATTTGTTTAAGGTGGCCAAACAACGACAATTTCGCAATCGATATAATTCAAGGAAAACTTTTAAAAACCAAACATACATTTACAAAATATGAATAATAAACAAATCGTACTCATATTGATAGGATATGGTTTACATAGTTAAGCAGTGGAACAGAAGTCTAAAGCACAACATTTGAAGAAATATGAGTTAATTTTGGCGGCCTGCCTGAATCATTTGGCTAACTGAATTTCCACCGAACACAATGCATCATATTTTCTCTAGCTCAAAGTGTCTTAACAATTCAATTATCTCTATGAGTCATAAAATGTACTCACGTATTTTTTCGACTGGTTTTCAAACTACCGGTGCGCATTTTGCGAAGGAGGAAATATATCATAAGAGATAAGTCTATGCTTCAGATCGAACAGTACTGAGTAAAGTGATATAGAATAGACTGCTATTTCACTTGAAGATCTTGGATAAGGAAGAAATATTATGCCATAAATTATGCTGAAAATTATGTAGACTGGTAAATATTTTGTTCAGAACAAAGCTAGTATTTGTGCATCGTTGGCACTGCGGTTAGGACTCTCAGCGACCATACAAATGGTCTGGGATTCGATCCCTTGCCGATGCACACCTGATATCAGTGGTCAACCTGCAAAATTTGGGCTACCAATATCACATGCTACTATGTGGAATCAAGGTATAACCAAAAAAGAGAAGAAAATTATTGCTAGACACTATTAACCTAATTCGTCAGAAATGTACATGCACCACACAATTAGTCCTTAAAAACAGCATTCTGTAGTAAAACACCGTTTACTACTATTAAAAGCAGTCGGAACTTAGAACTAAACGAGTTGATTGAATTCTCAGAGTAGAACTGTGCACAGAAGTACAACATATCAACTTGCCACCTATTGTCGAGCACACATAAATGTGGAGCGAGAGAAAATACAGAAAAAAGACAATAACTGGAAACGTACAGAAGAGAAAGTAATTACATTGAGAATAATGAGAATCTAAAGGGATCTAAGAGTTTATCCATCAAGGAAGAATGAATTTGCCCCAGTGAAAACGTTTTCGAACCATATCGTTATTGAATCTTAGCATCTCAAAGACCCCAACTAGACAGTCTGCACCCCCCCCCCTTAAGAGCAAGTCTGAGTGACTAGAAATCATCCAATTACGGAGTTTTGTAAACTTGACAGTTTTCGAAAATTGGATAAATCATCAATCATACCTTCTTATGGATAACTAAAATCTTAAGAGTCACAGGAAACCACTCAGAGTGATCTGATCTTAATGACAGCTATATTCTGACTGACTGAGTGTTCACCATAGAACTGGACAGAGAAGTGTAGCAGTTTAAGTCACCACACTCTATTCAACACACAAAGGTATGGAGAGAAATAACTCAAAAGCACTATAACGAACTACATTCACAGTTCAAGAAAATTGCCGCTGATAACGTTCACGCTAGGAAATACCACTGGATATTTTTTAAACATGCTGTAAAAAGAAATCACTTTCAAATAAATCGACCGTCTGAAAACACTGTAACAACAGAAGACAAGGGCCAGGCAACACAGATCGTTTATTTAGGAAATTAACAGATATTTATAGATTTTCATGTACATTATTATAGATTATTGTAAGCAAACAAACACAATCTTCTGATTGGTGGTTTCTCGCTGAACGTTAATCTTTCATCTCTTTATGGCCGTTTATTGAAGTTCAGATTATCTATCTGCAAATTGTACCCGCTTACGCAAAGTCTGCTGTGGTTGGTTGTTGAATCAGTCTTTGTTCTTATTTTTCTCACGACCAATATTGGGGACGTAAACATTGACGTAAATTACTGCCTACCAATTCTGGCTAGCAGTCAGCTCTCATCACAATACTATTATGAATATACTCTTACTGTAGTGTTAGTAAATGGTTGAACAGGTGAAGATTTTAATACGCCCGTGGTTCAAAGGTAAAAAAAAAGCCAGACATGTGATCCGCGTTCAATTTCTGATCGGTGCAGTCCTAAACTTCGCCTCATTTACACACTGGTAGTTAATATGAAAAAGAGGGAATGATGCTAGCAAACCCACCCAGTAAAAAGCAAAAACCGTTACTGAATCTCTGAAGCTTGCAACCCTTCGTTTCACTTGAAACGTAAAGGAGTGCAAGAACATGCTGATTAATTATACTCTGGTGAAGAGAATTATGACTACAGTACTGTATCTTGAAAACAGAGATATAGACAAGATTCTTAATATCTAATGAATTCAAATTTTTAATATAGTGGAATTTACGTCAGATCTCGGGAGAGATCAACTATAATTCGTGTTCTAATGCACACCCAATTATATTAATTAGGCAGTTAAATTCACTGAACTAAAGTAGAAATTACCGAGAACTTTTAATCATTTTTAAAATATCAACAAAATCAAACGGTACATCTATTGAGGTTTAACGATGGAAGAATGTCAATCAAGAAGACTCTGTATCAGTGTTGGTAACAAACGCTAAGGACACTTAGGATTCGAGTCCAAAGATTTCAAACAAAATAACTTCGCCTAATTTTGAGTGCCAATGTATGAGGCCTTAAGTTCAGCAGAACAGATAATCAAATGTAATTTTAATTCAGGAAAAGGTCAAAAAGACTATGTCATAATTCGACTACAAAATAAGACGACAACAAGACACTCTATATACAGTAGTGTATGTAAAAAACAGTTGTTACAGCTGACTGAATATTTTGAGTTTCGACTGCATCACACTACATCAGTAGAAGCAGGCTTGGTTAAATATCTAAGCCATCTAAATAGAGGAACGCTAGAAACAAGAAAAAATAAATAAAAACGCATAACAGGAGCACTACCAGTCAAAACAATTTTCCAGGACTCATTCAGAAATTCACGAGAATCTAGCCTAAAGGGAGAAGTAACAATATAATGGATTGCAGTACGAATAAGAGAATTCAAGGCCTTCAATGTTCTTATATAAGCAGACGATATCTCAAACTCTAGGCAGGATTCTTAGCAACACGCGGATTAAGGCGATTCACAAAGTTATAAACTCTCTCAGGAACAAAGTGCATAGGCTTGGACATTCTCTTCGCACGACTCAGCAAGTAATCTAAATGCAATGACTATGACGTAGAATATACAAGTTAAACCAGGACTAGTCTGGTTATCGCTACATTGGAGGGTTTAAATAAGCGTAGAATGATTAACTTCAATAGAATAAATAGCCTAAAAATTCAAATTGTTGTGATTCATTGACACCTGATGAAAACACAGGACTCATAAGCAAGGTTAGCTTGAGTGTGTGTGATTTCAAAGTTTTAAATGTCTTACTATTAATCGGAGAGCACGTGTACTATGTACTGATGCGTTACCTTACTGTTTACTCGTAAAATAACTACTGAAAAGTGATGAGTTTAAAGCCTTAGATGATTGGTCATGCGAAAAGTGTAAGCACTAGAGTGAAGGAATAAACCTATTGACTGAGATATCTGGGATATGCGTGCATGAACACCACTTACTGAAAAGTAGAATGATAGTGAAACATTAAGTTGGAATGCAGCTAATTGTTACCGTATCATTGAATCATAGGAGACCACGACAACTCGGAAAACCTAAGCATATGTTTGGAGACACCAAGTGATGCGACTGAAGTCGACTGCAGCGAGGCGCACTCATTCATACTGCATTTATCTTGACTTTTGGGCATATTCTTAATCTGTCGACTTATTATTATTATTATTCCCTTGGGTTCCAAGTACTTCAACAGCACACCTCTAATTCACTAATATTCTCTGCAGTCATTTTCATCTGGTTCCATAATTGCCCATAGACTTTCATTCGCTTCTCACATGATTTCCTCCATGTCACCCTCAGATTCATGTCAAACTCGTCACTCGTCATAGTGATTTCACTCGAGGGCTTGCCTAGCACGTGATATCACTCACCAGTCTTCTCCGATTAATGTTTAATCCATCTCTCTTTCCTTCGGCATATTTATTGAGTGATAGGCGCTTGGCTGGTTCGTTACCAGACCATCTGGTCTTCAGTATCGAGTGAAGGCAACTGCTGATAAAAGTTTGAATTAATATGGAAAGTGTTTCAACATTACAGAGTGCCCCAAACCTTATTCAAAAACTATGCGACGATCCCACATGCCAAGCGATTCACAACAAGAAGCTCAGCGAAACCTTTGAAGTGAACATAAGAGTACGACGACAAGGTTGCCTACTGTCATCAGTGATATTCCTGATTGAAGTGGACTATAAATCATGCGACTTTGTCAATTTATTCCTTTTTTAGTCTTCACATTATATGCAAGTGAGGTGTACCAACAACTTGAAATATTATACAACTCAGCCACGCTGAATAGACTTTACTTAGTCAAAAATTTGTAACCTGGAGGGACAGTGAATGGATTTATACGATTCACATCTTAATTTTCTAAGCTTTTGCAGTTTTTATAAGTGTGGTTCTTTCATCTTGAATTCTATGCCTACCTTGAATGAAGTTTAAGTAATCTCCAGCATACTGCTACATTTCAGTATTACCATTGTAAGACATCAAAAATACAATTAAGGGGAGGAGTTGACCTCTGCTGGTATCTGTTTATTTTCTCATGTTATCTGACTGAATAAAATAAAAAAATTTTTTTTAAAAAAAAGGTATCAGGTGAGAAGTAGTTGTTGTATAGTGAATTAAATTTCGTTGGTAAAAATAAAGAAGACATTCTTATCAACCTAAACACACTACGGTTTAGAGTGTGGATGAAAGCACAATGGGATATTTCGCTTCATGATTGCATATTGTTTCTTAGAAAAAGTGTAAAGCAAATGAGTTTGTAAAATCAAGTACACAGGAACCCTGTTAAACACGTTTACGATCTGTCAAGACGCGTACAACTGAACCAGCCTTCCCATATGTATAAACCTAGAAAAAAAAAATAATAAAAAGATATTTCACAGAACATGCTGATTTAAAAAGGATGCTTGAATACATACAATAAAATAAATATAGCACTTCACCTAAACAGTTTCTTCGTTTTAATTAGTTCTGTGAAACTCTAAGAACACAACTCGAGGTCGCTGTTGCATAATAGTGGGACTAGATTCAACTCTAATTTCAAACTTAAAAGAATGCCTATCAAGATTATTAAACTTCACACCAAACACACCTTTATTATATCTATGCCTAACAGATAGATGCTACCTAGACGTGGTCATCGGACTTGAACATCGCAATGACCCAACGAGTTACACTGACTGAAGTCAATGTTCTTGCAGATCTTACCATGCCAGGAAAATCATTTGAATGGAGACTAGATTAAAACCGGTTACTATCATGTTAGGGGTATGTGGGCATAGATGCACTACTGGAGAATAGGGATTTAACAGCATTAAGGTGATTCTCTTAGATGGCCAACAAGCCAACTGCTTTGCCTCTATGCTTTGAGGAGATGAGGTTAGGAAAGGTTAACCCCGAAAAGTGTACATCCCGACTTATCTTGAGTCGGTAAGGTCTTGATACAGACACAACTCTAAAATCCACTTTAAACAGGCTGCATGTGACCAGCCTCAAGAAGTTGTCCTCTGGACTCTAAAGTCATGCAACATCAATGCTCTTTCTGTTCCAGAGACTCCAAGGAGAAATTAACCTCCAATGTATGGATAGCCAGAAATTAATAACCGCTCATAAGCTCACTAAACCTACTTAACCACCCTTTGAATCTATTCGTGCTGCCTGTAATATATGATTCAATTAAATCATGGTTTGAAGTGAAAATCACCCTACAGCTTTGTGCGCTATTGTTACAGAAGAAGAATCAAATAATCTTAGACAACTACTCTAACATTTATTAGCGTGAGCTTAGCGTCGGTGGTTCAGTGGTAGAATGTTTGCCGGCAAAAAATATGGCTAAGGTTCCATTCCCTGCTGATATACTCCTAAACCTCGATTAGCCAGTAGTAAATCATGTATAGAAGAGAGGCTAAGCGTGAGGCTAGCAACATTATCGTTAGTGAAACTTCAGAGCTGAAGCTTGAGGCCCCCTACATTCCATTCACAATGCAAAGGAATGAAAAAACCGGACACCAGAAATAAATTAAAACCATGGAATGAGACTTGTTAGTCAATTTGACTTGTATTACAAGCCCAAAGCCACTCTAAATATTGTTAATTCCGTAGGCGCAAAGTCATATCAAGATAACTGACACATACAAAAAAAAACAAAAGGTGTGCAACATTTCAAGGACAAACTTGTTCCCCTTGACTTCAGGAGGATTCAACTTCTGCTAGCAGCAGGTGAGATGAAACAACGTATGTTGAATACTGCCTAATGTCAATAATTTTTAAACTAATGATCATTTTTAAGTGAATTAGTATATGTAAAACTTGGACACTGCAATAGTATGTAATTTCATATTAATTTGTTTATTAGGTGTATCACAATGAAACAGACCTGTTTACTGGATATGATATGATTAAGAGAAATCAATTGTGTTCCAAATGTCATCCAGTAAATAATAATGTTTCACTGTGTGATACAATCAATAAACAAAGTAATGTGAATATATAAAGTCTAAATGAAGACTACTAAACTTTTATGGGGAACCGTCATTCAGTGGAAGTGAGAACACTGTACTGGAAATCATGCAATAAACACAAGAGTTTGATTTCAATCTACTGTGACAACACATACATCCTCTATTCCACTCTCGGTCACCATCCAATAACATCCAGTTAATCCATTGTGGGCTTTTCTTGAAAATATTACTTGTTATACTGAATATCCTTATAAGAAGTATAGGATATATTCAAAGCATTCCAGTAATATAGTAATCAATAATACCGTAATCAGCAACAGTAAAGAATTGATACCAAAGTCAAACGATCTTGCACCAATCAATCTAATCGTTCAGCATTACAAATGAGTGCTTTTCATAATCTTCATTGCAACTTTCATCCTGATTCACAGTTAAGGTTAGATTAGGTTTACAGTAGGGTTAAGGTTGGGGGGTTAGAGTGAACTTGCAAAGAAGATTATGAAAAGCGATCTTGATTGGTTGGTTCGAAGTCGTCTGACTTTGGTGTTTATTCTTTACTGTTACCCGGTGGTAATCAAACCCAGTTACCTTTTCATGCCATGACAATAGTGTAGCACAACTAATCTCTTGAGGCTGTTCAAATCCACGGTATATATATTTCATTAATAGATCAATTTTCTCTTGATCCATTGTCGACAAGAAATCATCAATATTTTGATTTGATTTAAACTGGGACAACAAACGCATCATCAACTTAAATACTGTATCCTTGACCTGTTGATCTTTTGAGTTAATCGGTGCATTTTGTAGTATAGCTAAGATAGCATCAGTAGATCTGCCACTTGTAATTAAATCATTAATTTCAGATATATTTATACTGGATGGTTTAACGTCATCAATTGTTTCATCTTGAAATGTTGGTTCTGTTAACTGATCAACATCGACTTTTCGGAATTTTGTATCTCCGGTATTTTTAGCCATTTATAGGGGGGTTTGAAGAATGAAAACTCAACAAGTTGACACAACAGACTCTATACACAATACCTAGAAAGTAGTCAGAAACATGCAACCTTGATAGTAATCAAAAGAAATCGTAAATAATCAATAGTATGAAATGTAAGTCATGTGATTTCTAAACTTAAATAAGTGCTTCAACATTACCTGAGAGAAAATATGATCAATAAACGAAACAATACCTACTAATAGCTAACTACAGAGATGAATAAATGGTTTGACTAGTGGTCGCATAAAGTTGGTACAAAATGATTAAGTGAAATAAAGCGGAAACAGTTGTAGTGATGTAACCGCTAAAGTCACCACAGTTTGTATCGCTGCAACACGCGGTATATAATAATGATAATGACGAAATACAGAAAATTAAAGACAGCAAAGACTAAAGCAATAGGATTTCGAATACGTCTAAGTAAAACGTGAGTGAGTGCTATACATTGAGATTGACTGCGAAATACATTGCACAAGATAAGCGACTATCGAAGCTGTCGCTCATTGGTCTAGGTGCTCGACTTCCAATCAATGGGTCTCGGGTTCGAGCCCCACTCCAAACACTCAGATTTGGGCAGCCCCGTGTAACACAAATAAGCTGAACACAAAAGGCGTAGTCCGTTACCAACTGCATGGAATTGTAACTGGTTGTTAAGAAACATTGATTCATTTTTTACTTGAGATGCATACAGCTTCTTTAATACATTAGAGTGCTAGTGAACTAATGGACTCGCATAAATCGTACTCAGCATCCTCAAATTTCTTTTGCTTTGTTTTTACACCAGTCTTGATCATCTCATAAAGTGGTTAATAGTGTTCATTGGAGTTAGCGGACTACATGACAGTCAGATAAGCTGACTTGCGATATTGTAAGGGAGACGCGGTTCACTGGCTTAAAGACTCGACATCCAACCAGTGGGTCCGGGAATCAAATCTCGCTCCAATTGCTTTATACTGGACTACTGAGTAATATCATCAGCCCTAACAGATTAAGTGAGGCTTACCACCTGGTGCCACGTGAGTTTTAACTTTAATTGAAATATTCCGAACATTTTTGGGCATATAAACACGATTTTAAAGCTTTCGTGATGGTGATTGGGCTTTTCATTTATCATGACACTATTGTAAACTACACCACTGCAGCCTTCAAAAATTCCCTAATAAATTTGTGCTCTTCGGGTTGAGAGCGGAAGACATGAAGAGACTGTCTGTTTTTGACCACAGATGTTTACGATCTCTTTCTCGCGTTAGGTGGTATAATAAGGTAAGTAATGTTGACGTTAGGCGTAGAGTGTTGGGCAAAGAGGGAAAATCAATCGAAGAGGCTATAAAGTTACATAGATTGAGATGGTTAGGCCACGTGCTGCGCATGCCTAACCATCGTCTCCCCCGACGGCCATTACTAGCTGATATAGGTGCAGGTTGGAAAAGAGTAAGTGGTGGCCAAACAAAAACATGGCATCAGTCCATGAAATCCTTGACAGTTAAACTGAGTCACGTAGGGAGATGCAGACTTCCGGGTTGAGGCCCTCGGGACTCTAAGAATCAATGGCTGGAGATAATAGGTGAAATGGCTCAAAATCGTTGTCAATGGCGCAGATGTATTCAGTCTCTTTAACCTTCATACTCCTTTCTACCATTACTCATTCTGTTCCACTCTTATACTTATCTAAATTCTATTGATTCTCTTCTGTCGTTTTCCTGTCTACCTTTGTGTGCTTTTTGGAACGTGGCAACTCGAACTGGTGCACTTCGGTGCCAAGTTCTATGTTGAATCCAGACAGACAGACAGACCCTAATAAATGGTCACCATATGCAACAAATTATCACCTTTGGACATAACTATTTACCCGTCACAAAATATTTTCCATCACAATTTTGAATTACTTTGGCATTGCATTAACGTCTGATGGAACTAGATTATGTAGTCTATGTAATGTTATATGTAGAAATATCCTAGTTAAAATCGGGATTCTGATTTTTCTATTCAAATGTATTTGACTACATTTGCTAGTACTCAACGAAATCCTTTAGTTAAACTTTCGACATTTTATACCTTTATTGTATAGTTTGTGTTTCCCATAGATGTTCAATCTAGGAAATGCATAATACTAAAATTATTACATGAAGCAGTTGAAAATAACAGCTGCCTATTTGGATCAATAACACTAGTCAGGATTTTATTGAACCCGGTAAACTATAACTACATTAAATCTGCTCGGATTTATGCGATCTGCTTAAGATACCTAGAGCAACTTTCAAGAGTAACTGATAGACACACTCAGTGAAAACTTCTGCTGTTAATGTCATCTGTTTAACATCCGGTCTTACACTACCACTGCACTTCGCAGAGTTCACGCTATATATCAGTTCTTAAAAAGTGACACAGTGAAAACATAACAATCAGATACATGAAAGGCAGAAATTCATGGAGTTCTGGTATTATTCGGACGATATAGAATAGCCAGCTACATCATCCTACAGTAATTCGGTCAAGTGTTCTTCTTTAAGATAGAAGGACCTATGAAGTTTTGAGCTTATTTTGAGTGAAATTACACAAGTCAGGTCATCACAACCTGCCGTGAAGGCAAAGAAGGTTAAAGATAGCAAGCAAATAACAGCATATCTATAATTAAACACTACCGGTCTTGGCGGTGTAGTTTTTTATTAGAATGAGGTTCAGATGAAACAACATACGGCCTAGTGATTCGCAACAAACTTTTAGGGATATCCAAAAAGCATGAATTGACAGTATTGATAATCTGCGTTCAAAATTAACTCGTTTGTGGATAAATATAAGACAAAACCTTGAGGTTTCCAAAATAAACTTCAATAAAGAAAAATGGACAATAGTGTACAGTATGGCACGTTATCAGTCTTCATTAGGGAGGAATTATGTAAGATTACTATCACTTGTTGAAGTACGTCCATACACTGACTGTCCACTCATTTAAATAATTGTATCTTGAACAAAGAAAAAAGAAACATTGGCGCAGAGTAATCTGGATCCATTTTATTTCGTTGGTTCTCATCAGCTGCATACAACCTGAATTCTTTAATAAAATAAAGTGTACAATTTTAACAAACCTTTGTCCATTAGCAAGCATATTGTCAGAGAGTCATAGTAAAATAAGGCGTTGTGATTTACAGGGTGTCTAAAGTGTTACGACATATATATATCTTGTTAGAGAGAAGTTTCTTGAAAAAAATTAATTAACAGTTGTGTTGTTGGTAACAAAAGAAAATTAGTAACAGTTGCGTAACTAGATAAGAGAAGAAGACATCCAACTGTGCATACTAATTCACATGTATCTGTGGGAGCAGTTACATTGGAACAACAGAGAGGAGGGCCTACGTCAGATTCTGCGAACATGTACCAAGGAACCTCCGGTTAAAGGGATTGAATTGTTTAAACTCTTTAATCGCCAAACACCTGACTGACACAGGACACCGAGTAGATGTGCTGGAATCATTCAAAATAATTAACAGACAAATTACCTCAAGTCTTCTCATGTTTGCTGAAGCTATAGCAATAAAACGAGCGAAGTTCAACAATAGCGTTCCAGGATTGAGAACGCTCCAATGACTTTGAACGCATGCTAGTCGTTGGCTAACGGCATCTGTCATTATCATAGCTGAAATATCAACGCTATTTACCAACTTAGGAGCAAATTTCACCCAGATTACGTTTTTAAGTACTGTTTGGACAATGTGTTAATAGCTCGTCAGGGTTAGGATTAGGGTTAAGATAAGTATTGAGGTTAGGGTTAGGATCAGAGTTATAATTAGCATTAGGGTTAGAATTACGGTTTGAATAAGTATAATTATATTTCAATAGTTTACACACAATAATAAGTTTTGTTATTGATTAGAGTTAGGTTTAGTGTTAGGGTTAGGATTAAGTTTATGGTTACGATTAGGGATAGATTTATAGTTGATATCATTTATTTTAATTTTTTATTATCCACGTTTTCCTGGTAAGTAGTCATCTATCCTCTTGCTGGAAACCATAATAATTCAACCGAGTGCTATTTTGGAAGACTGCAAGCAGGATGAGAGATAAACGATTCACAAAAAAAGTTTACCTGTATTCATCTTGGTGAATTCATGTACAGAAACTAGTCTAATTTAGCAACTGATACTTCTCGTAGAACGTATTTTTAAGTCATGTCAGAGAAAAATAACTTGTTTAGTGCGTTTCCAAGCATTTTCTTGTAAATATACATCATTTTTTAGCAAACATTCCTCATTTGTATGATTGGTCAGCTGAAGGTCACTCGTGCGTTCGCACCAAGGGACGCTATGGCTGAACTTTGCCATAAAACGATTGCAGCCTGACTTATGTGTCCAAAAAGAATCCGTTGTTGGACTACAATTACCCTGGTTATTCACTTCTTAGTAACTCTGTTTTCTAGTTTTGTTAACTTGTCTTTTCACCCCCCCCTTTATTTTTCGCTTGACTCTCTTAAGAGATAATTTTTTCTTGATCTTCTGAGTTCTGCTCACTGTATTACATCATCAACTCCTCATCTGACCTCATGTACATGGAAATTTTAAAATATTGATCTCTTATCTAATTGCGTAACTGTTACTAATTTTCTTTTGTTACCAACAACACAACTGTTAATTAATTTTTTTCAAGAAACTTCTCTCTAACAAGATATATATATATGTCGTAACACTTTAGACACCCTGTAAATCACAACGCCTTATTTTACTATGACTCTCTGACAATATGCTTGCTAATGGACAAAGGTTTGTTAAAATTGTACACTTTATTTTATTAAAGAATTCAGGTTGTACGCAGATGATGAGAACCAACGAAATAAAATGGATCCAGATTACTCTGCGCCAATGTTTCTTCTCTCTTTGTTCAAATTTAAAGAAGGGAATCATTGTATGAAATTGTATCTTGCTTGAAACGGATAGTGAACCATGGATCAAGAACCTACCTGCAGTCAACTTGAAGTTCGTACTCAAACATGTGATGAAGAATTTAAATGCAGACTATGAAAATCCTTGACTCACTACTGAACACCACTACTGCTATATAAATTAAATCAGTTTAGTTAAGCACGTGGTACACTAGTAAAAGTTTGGTGGGATGAAGGTAAAACAAAAAGTAAGCTATGCTTAAGTGAATTTAGATTTGGACAAATGAATTCACCTGTATCCGCAGGTAGACAGTTAGAAAATTGTATATAAATGTCCATATCAACCATAATAAGCATTTTTAGTGTACCATTGTGTCTAGTCATTCACATGGCGGATTTAAACTTCAAGCACAAGCAAGTGCTGACCGACAAATGACCCTGAACGCATCAGTCATATAATAATGGCGAATTTTACGTGTAAAAATGCACCCATGAAAATAATTAGGCGTCATTAAAAGGTTACACCGGATATCTATGTCTAACGTGTGGAGGAATGCCTCGCAGTTCTGGATGAGTGTCAATAGAGTAATTTAATCAAATTCTATACACGTACTTATCTAGGTCTTTTAACCCTGACAATAACAATAATCTCAAGTTTACAACAATTCTAAACTTATTCTAACTTATTCTTTGATAATGCCTTCATCGTCAATGAATATTTTATCTACCCATTGTTCTGAAATAACGCTGGTCGTGCTTAATAAGAGAGCTGAGTGTTGAATTAAGTCTTTTCGTTCTGAAGCAAAGCTATTCCGTATTTAATATGTCCTATGAGGGCTGGAACAACGTTGATAAGCAAATCCAGTAGGTTCTGACCTACTCCTGAAAATGCCTAGAAAAAGAACACGGTGCTGGATTAATGCCAGTCGTACTGAACTGTGTTCTAGTCTGTGCCATTAAAGAATCCATTACAGAACGGATTTAGAATTTACTCACCAAAAGAATGTTAGAATTATTTCAGAGTTAGTGGGATTTAATTTAGAATTATAGTAAGCTTGGGATTCGATGGACTTTATCGCTCTCATTCATAGGAAAGTAAACGCCTAATTTTTAATGACCTTAAGTAGTTATTACGACCTATATTACACGAAATGGCAATGGAGGAATACATAAAATCTCAATGAACTTACAGATTTGCAAGTATTTGAATGTTAGGCACGACCTTGAGAATACAAACTTTGCGCGACACCACGAAGTGTATCCAATGTCCAATATCATTTTTAGACTGAAATTAAACCTCACGTACCAGGTCATTGATGGAGTGAGACGCTCATGTTGGTTTGCAGTTTCGTAGCTGTTCGTTTACACACTGGTTTTTCCGTTTATCCAGCAGTTATCCTCTGATTCGAGTGTAGACACCATTTCCAATATCCAATTTGATTTCTTTTTGCTCGCCTCTTGATTATGTGATATAGATTCCTGATCTTCTGTAAACTTCTGTGGAGCTCGTCCCGCCACTCGACTGTCGTAGCTTTGGTTGACACCAAAAGGACTAGTGCTAGGATTAATTATATGTGGTTTGTAGTATGAGGTGTGTTAAGACTCTTACTACTGTTAGTGGAGTTGATCCTTTCACCAGTTAGTCCTCCGGCATTGTCGTCAGAAGAAAAGAGATAATAATAATAGATATAATTAGTGAGTTTATTCAGACTAACAGACAGAAAAAGAAATAAAGAAAACGTAACAACGGTCAGCTGAATAAATTTAAATAATAATATGAACGACGAACTTAGTTGTCCACCCCTAAGTGGTGTATGGGATTTTAAGGGGATAGGCCATTTGGATGCGGTCCTTGTGTCACTGCATGGTTGTCCAGCCTTCGCTTAAAGTCGTCCACAGACGGTGCCATAGCTGCATCTGCCGGTAAGGAATTACAGGGACGGCAAACTCGTAGTGAAAAGAAGTGGGGGTGCACCCGAGTCCTTGCCCTCTGGTAGGCTATCCTTTTGGGATTTCCAAGAGGAAGTCTATACCTACTCAATGGCAGAACACCTTTGTCTGGGTGATTATGGTCATTTGTTATTTTGTAGACAGTAATAAAATCCCCCTTAAGCCAACGGAAGCTAAGTGTGAATAGGCCTGATTTCTTCAGCCTTTCATCATATGGTTTGTTTCGGGGACCAATCACTCCTTTCGTCCCCCGTCTTTGGACTCTTTCCAAGAGGTTGGTGTCTCTTCTAAACAGTAGGGGTGCAATAATATTATGCACTTCAAAGTGTAGTCTGACGTATGTTTTATATAACCTTAGAGAGAGCTCAGGAGTGAGAACAAATAACCGTCTATGTGTAAAGTGTATGACTGCATATTCCCTCGCTACGTCGCCTGTGTAATTTACGCTTGTCCATTTTTCCTTTAGAAATAGACCTGAGTCACGCTCCAAACTTATAATAATAATATATATTTCCTATCAATGTAGGACACACCAGTTGTACAGGCATGGATAAGTATTATTTAAATTACATGAATTTGATTTATAGTGAAATTACATGGTTGCTGTCCTCTCTGACATCAGTTAGTGAGAACATTCTGATAGTTAGTCGTTCAATGGAGCACATAAAGAAATATAGAAATATTGTCTTCGCATTAACAAAAAACCCAAGTATGTGTTGGACAAATTACAAATATTTAGGGAAAAAATAAAGCTTGAAGTCAATTCCTCCATATAACTTTGTTGTGTGCGACATCGTATCTTGTTTTAGGTTCAAATTGGGTATTAATTTAAATTGAGTGATTAATTTTTATGATTTTGACATCATTTTTTTGCAATTAATACCAGATGTTAATTCAATTGAATGCAGATTAATATTGGTCATTGTCAAGCAGATTTGTTTTACTGCACTCAAGTCAACCATAGCCCGCTATTTGTCACAGCATGGTTGCTCCGTACGAGTAAGTTGATAAACACGTAGAAAGCTATATAAAAACCATTTTAGATCGTTGACAGTGCTTGTGCAGGACAAGCTTTCATTGCACAGGATGTAACTTGCATTCTGCAGTCTAAAGATGCGTAACTTCAGGTCAGGGTGAACGGTGTCAAATGCCTTCTCAAAGTCTAGGAAGACCACATGGACTGGAACATTCACTAACTGGCGGCCTGTTTGACACCTGGGCTACCTTTCTGTACATCTACATATTTGCATCTAATACATCATGTTTGCATTTTTAATTTTAACAATATATGATCACAAATCGTATCAAATACAGTAATGAATTCATTGAATGTTTTAAACCATTTGACTTTCATGCATCTAATATGGTGGTTGGTAACGTGCTCTCAAACGGACACCATTATATCGCATAACTTTCCTGTTATTGTCAGTTCAAACTGCCGTTCACTTCCCAACAAAATTATGAACCCCCAGTCTCTCTTATCATCTGATACTTATCACAATACGGCGATAGTCGCATTACAAGAAACATGGCTCCATGATCTTTATGACGACAACCTGGTTTCTCTAAATGGCTTTACATTGTTTAGACAAGATCGAATATGCTCTAGAAACAAAAAAGGTGGTGGCGTCGCAACCTTCATTCATTCTCAGTGGTCAACTTCAAATAATGTATGTTTTCCTTTCTCTAGTGACTTTATTGGTTGTATTAGAGTCGAATGTCGTCCGAAACACTTATCCAAGTTTAAATACGTCTTCATCTCAAACATTTATGTTACTCCTGGCTGTTCTGCCTCGGATCTATCTGATTTTGCCAATGAATTCACAGCATTCGCTATTACACATCTTGAAAACTCTTTGTCAGTTGTCACAGGAGATTTCAATACCTGTGACTGTTCTTTTCTTGAATCATTAGGTCATGTCAACATTGTCAAATTTCCAACTCGACTTGATAAAACGCTGGATCTAGTATTTACTAATGATGCGGAAATATATGAAGCACGCAGACGTGCTCCTATAATGAACTCTGATCATTGCATTATTCCGATATTACCCAAGATATGTAGCAGATATCACTCTAATATCCTCTCGAATCTCTCCAGGAAGACACATCAAAGATGTTCCTCACAAGAAAACGTGCTCAAACTAAGATGTATGTTAAATGACACAAACCGGGATCTGTTCACTGAACACACACTGGATGATGCTATTTCCAATCTGACTGACTATCTTAAATTCTGCCTAGATGTATGCTGTCCAAAACAGATACTTTTCAAAAGAATAGACCGTTTCTCTTCCCCTCATCTCAAAAAGCTTCGAAGAGAAAAAGAGAGACTGTACAAGACTAAGGATAAAGCTGGTCTTAGGAAGATAAACATCCAAATTAAATCCGAAATCAATAGGCCAAACATTATTTATAATCAAAGAATTTTGTCATGTAAGACTCCTGGGAACATGAGGAAGCTTTTCAAAGAAATTGCAGGTTGTGGTAAGCATAGTTCTTGTGCCCCCTCTATTGATGTAAATACTCTTAATATATCCTTTATCTGCCCTCCTAATGTACCTTTTAGCTTCAATGTAACAAATAACATGACCAGTGACTTTAATAGTTTTAAGACTTCTGATGTTCATAAATGTTTAAAATCTCTCAAACCTTCTCAGAGTCTAGGCCCTGATGGTATACCTGCCATTGTCCTAAGGAAATGTGCTGATATTTTAAGTAACCCACTTGCAAACATTTTCAACATTTCTTTTTCTAACAATGTTGTACCTTCTCTATGGAAAGATATTAAAATCATCCCTGTACCCAAGTCAGATTCTGGTAATAATGCTAAGTTTAGACCTATCGCTATTACCTCTCCTTTTTTGAAACTTATGGAGAAATTATTGTTACTAAAACTTCTTCCCTCCCTAAGTTTCTCAAACGATTCAAAGCAGTTTGCTTACAAACAGGGTAGAAGTACTTTGGACGCTGTTGCTGTGTTTCACCACAACATTGTATCCTCCTTAGACAAAGGGGCCAAGTATGTCCGTTGTACGTTCCTTGATTATACATCTGCTTTCGACTCTGTACCTAGAGGCCTGTTGTTAAACAAGCTTAGCCTTACACAAACTGAGCCCTGGGCTATCAACTGGCTACACTCTTCCTTCTCTAATAGGATGCAGTACACGGTATATAATGGTGTATCTTCCTCTCCTCTGCTTACTGAAGTTGGAGTTCCTCAGGGTGCTGTTCTCTCTCCGTTTCTCTTTTCCTTCTTGGTATATGATTTACCTCTTTCAGATGAAATCAACTTCGTCAAATATGGAGATGACCTGTCTGTATCGTTTCCCATTAAGTCTCAGTCAGACTGTTTCAAATTAAATGAATTCCCGTCGGACATCAGTCAGTGGTCTAAACTAAGTGGTCTCATGCTGAATCCGTCAAAACGCCAGACTACTGACTTCTTCCTTAGGCATAAACGAGATCTACAAACACTAGTGAGTTCTCATGAAGCCTGTTGTATTGAGGGGACTAAAATTGAAACCAAGTCTAATGCAAAATACCTCGGTCTAATTCTATCTTCTGACCCTACTTGGACATCTCATATCCTAACGATTTCTAAGAAAGTGATCTGCCTAACCTACTACATTAAGAAACTTAGACAATCTGGAATCACCCAACCTCTACTTTCACAATTTGTCAACTCTTGTATCTTACCTATTCTACTTTACTGCTCCCCGTTAATCTTTCCTGGGCTACTGAAAAAGGACTATATCATCCCGAGAAGGATGTTGAAGGTAGTCAGTAGGACTAGTGGTGTAAAATTCAGTCAGCTCGTCATTACTTTAGTTGATAGGCATCTGAATACATGCGAAAAATGGTCAAAAGCCATACTCTCCGACCCCCAACACCCCCTCTATTCCCGACTCTCTCCTTGTATCTCATCAAGTAAAACCAGAAATCAGTATAAAAGAATCTATGCTCGTACAACCAAGTACAGGAACTCAACGATACCATACTTGGCCCGTGTTCTAAACGACAGAGACAATGTTAAGTGTTAAACTTATGACTTGCTCTGTTATTAACAACACAATTTTAGGCTCTTTTATTTCTCTCCTATTTTGTATTCTATAGTGAACTTCTCAAACATACTTAGCTACCTAAATCATTAAAGTTGGCTTCCTTTTTTGTACTTCACTATATTCCTTCTATTGTGTATCCACTGGTTCCGACTCTATTAGCACTATGAGTATTACAAAATTGTCCTGTCATTAACCATCATGTAATTATTAGTTTTGTGGTTGTTTTTCTTATTTTCTATACTTTTCGGCAATATTGGTTAGGAACGCCATAGTCACTACCTTAAAAATTTTTGTATTATTCAGGATTACTCACACAACCACTACAAACACTGCATTAGACCTGACAATAAAAAACAAAACAACAACCCTGAAATGTTATTTTATGATTGTTTAGAGTTGTTCCAACCAATTTAACTGATCATCTTGGCGATAAACATTCTTAAACATCATTTCATAACTTCTTGTATGACTATAGCTTTACTGTCACCATGCATAATCACATCATGGCTTCCACTACAAAATACTGAGTTATTGTTACATGCTGTTTATTTTCCTTTCTACTTCTTGGTATTTTTTCGCATTTTTTAAAATTATTGTGTTTTTTTCTTGTTTTTTCTTCTGCTGTTGGTGTTTTTATATTTATTATTATTTTTGAAATACTCCTTTTAAATTTTTGATAAAATTAGATGCAAATATTGTAGATATGTGCTGAAAATTCCACACTGTACCACTAGTACTGTTTCTGGAATAAAGCAAATTATTATTATATCCCGGCATGATGTCCGATTGTGCCAAGCTGACAGTAGGTTAGTAACGCAGTATCTACCTTTCCTGAAACCGTGTTGGGCTTCATGGAGTACATTAGACCTATCGAGATATTCCCTGATGTGATCGTCAGTAATACTTTCCAGCACTTTTGATACCACTGGGAGTAGAGCTACTGGTCTATAACTAGTGGGATTTCGCCTATCCCCACCCTTGGAGATCGGAGAAAGGATGCTTCTTTTCCACCCCCTTGGCAGTTTCCTCGATTCCATGGAGTGTTGGAACAAGTTGCATAAGGGTCTACAGAGAGCTTCGGCGCACCGTTTCAGAACAGATGGCCCGATGTCGTCACAACCTGGGGACTTCCCAGGTGGGATTTGCTGTAGATTCCTTAGTACTATTGCCGGGTTTATTTGGGTAGTGGCCACTAGGTCTTCCTCCTCTGAAATAGTAGTGACACCACTTTGGTCCGTACCGGTAATACCCATATTGCTGTTTATCTGTTTGCGAAGGCTAAACTGAACGTTTCATCCATCTCCAGACTAGCGAGATGTTGACCGTTTGGGCCTACTAAGGCGCATGCCCCCTTGTTGGTTGGTTTTCTTCCCGACAGGAATCGATACAAGTTTTTGGGGTTTGCTTGGAGTTTTTTGACAAGGTTAGCCTGGAACGACCTCCTGTCACTCCTGACTCTCGCGTTGCACCGGTTCCTGAGTTCCAGGTATTCGTCGTGGTCGATCTGACTCTTAGATATGTGCCACGTAAACCAGGCCTTCCGCTTTGCTTGCAGAATACGTTGCGTGCCTCTCTTCAGCCATGATGACTTTCTTTTGGGCTGTGTTGTGACTAAAAGGACGGTATCCAAGACACTGTATGAATAATCTTTTTTACCACCTCCCAGTGTTCATCCACAGATAGCTTATCCCATGCTAAGGGCCAGTCTGCGTCGGACAAGAGCGTCTGCATTTCAGCATAGTCAGCCTTGCTGTAACACAGACATGGCCGCGTAACGTCCCACTGCAAGTACTGACGAAGAACGAGATCGAAACCTATGACTTCATGGTCACTACTTCCTAGAGGAGTCATGATCTGGACCTCTTCGACGAGTAGTTGGTCACTAGTTAGAGTGCAGTTTTGATGACTTACCACTAGGGCCCCACCTAGTGTCGCCTCCAACGTTCTCAGTCAGTCCCGTGTTTCGAATAGTTTGCAGTAGAATACCCCGAGCCAAGTTTCAGTGATGGGGTATTGAAATCTCCAGCTATGGTGATTTGGTCATAGCCCAAGTCTCGTTTCCCTGTGATAGTGCTGAGCAGTAGCTGATTGTGCTCTGCCCCACAGGTGGGAGGTCGGTAGATGCCACCCAGTGAATGCTTGGTGTGGCCTACGGTGGAATGACACCGTATGAATTCTGGAAGTTCAATATGTGGTGGGTCCGTTGAGCGCACACATTTAAGTGGCCTGTCAAAGTATATAGCAACTACCCCTCCTTCCTTATTATCCCTGTCTCCCCTGAGCAGAATCATATCACCTATACTGATTTCGTTGTCGGCGATGGTTGGGTTAGTCAGGTTTCGGTGAGAATGATTATTTTAAGTTGTAGGTGTGCTTGGAGATTTCTGAGTTCGCCTACTTTTCTTCTCAGATCAAAAAGTTGCACACTGTGAACAGAATCG